ATTTCAATTAATATGGTTTTTATCAAATTTATTATTGGATTTTATTTTAAATGCATATTTGTGTAAAACAAAGTAATTTGCACAAAGAAATTATGGTGCTCTTCTCTAAAGAAGTTGTTATTTCACCCAGTTTAGAGCGTCATTTTACGTTATAACTAACAAGGTTCAAGCGATGGGTCTTGAAAAAACTGTACGTTTTGGGAAACACTTGTCACAACATCGTTCTTTTTCCAAATGATGCATCGTACTATGGAAAACGCACCCCAGTATAGTTACTTTTGTTGTTGTAAAATATTTGTTAAAAATGTAAATCATATAGTCAGCAATAAATGAATAAATAAATAAAACTGTTAAACAGTATAAATTGTGTATTAGGAAATATGAACTCATAGGAAATAAAATAAATTAATCTCAATGCATAATGTTTTATAAAGTATTTGATTCGTTTATTACTAAAATGTACACATTTATATCTTTATAGTGTGTAAAAAGCTCTTTTTTTCATGGTATTAGATTGAAAGACTAAACCCTTGCAGTGTGATCGGAAGTGGACAAAAGACTATTAACCTTAAGAATTTGTATGGCATATTTTTGAACTGGAATGTGTCTCTCTTGTTTACATGTGATCTGATCGAGCAAAGTGTGTCTTGTTACCATGTAAACAGGGCAGCAAAGGTCATGTTAAATTCGCCGTCTCTCTCTTTGTCTCATTTGCATAGTCATCCTTGCCTTTCTCATAGAAATCTTCATAAATTAGCCTACATATGGTGGGTGATAGCTTTGCCTGAGAAAACGTGCACTGCTGCACAAAGGTGGGCAATGTAAGAAGTAAAAAGTTGTCAAAACATAGATAGTGGAGTAAAGTACTGATACCAAGAAAAATCTACTTAAGTTAAGTAACTAAGTATTTGTACTTTGTTTCCCATCTGTTTTTAACATACTATATAGTATGGAACTATGTTCTTTCGAGTGCAGCCTAAATGTTTTGCAATGTTATGCATCCTTGCTAAAAACATAAAAATTATATTATTGAATAAACAATATAACAATAATATTTATAAACATTTTTACTATGCTTTCAACAAAAATAAATAAAACTGAATTTTGAAAAAAGTTGATCTTAATACTTAAACGCAAAGTAGGATCTAGTGGAATTTGAAGTTAATAGGACATACATAATATAGCAGACGAATAATCCATAATGCTGTAATGATGACAGAACAATTTCCTTTCTTTCTTTCTTTCTTTCTTTCTTTCTTTCTTTCTTTCTTTCTTTCTTTCTTTCTTTCTTTCTTTCTTTCTCTCTCTCTCTTTTTATGTTCACACTGGTTTTTAGACTAAAAAGGGGAAGGCGGTCACTGATTAGACAAGGAATCAGAGATTTTTATTTTTGGAGATGTGCAGAGAGGAAAGAGAGAGGAAGTGTTACCCGGAGTAAAGATTTCATCAGTGGTTTTGGTGAGCCTGTAAGCCCTTTGAATGATGTGTGACAGAGCTCAGGATTATAAACCAGTGCGTGTGTGGGGATTGAGTTGCCTGATGCGTTCATTTGAATCCCTTCTTTCTCATCTCATCTCTAAAGCCAAATGTTACTCTTATTTTTTGAAAAAACTTGACGTCTCTTGCTAAACCTTCATAATGCTTCATAATAATCTTAACATATCTTGCAGAGGCGAAGCAGTGGCGCAGTAGGTAGTGCTGTCGCCACACCGCAAGAAGGTCGCTGGTTCGCTGGTTCCAACCTCGGCTCAGTTGGCGTTTCTGTGTGTAGTTTGCATGTTCTCCCTGCATTCGCGTTGGTTTCTCCGGGTGCTCCGGTTTCTCCCGCAGTCCAAAGACATGTGGTACAGGTGAATTGGGTAGGCTAAATTGTCTGTAGTGTATGAGTGTGTGTGTGGATGTTTCCCAGAGATGGGTTGCGGCTGGAAGAGTATCCGCTGCGTAAAAACTTGCTAGATAAGTTGCCGGTTCATTCCGCTGTGGCGACCCCGGATTAATAAAGGGACTAAGCCGACAAGAAAATGAATGAATATCTTGCAGAATCGCATTTGTTTGGCATATATCCTTCAGTATTGTCTGGGTGTGAAGCTGTAGTCTGTGTGACGGACAGTGCTTTACTGGAGATCTTGTGACTTTAATTCTTGGTGTTTTTTTGCTGACGGTTCGGTTCATGTAACGAGACAAGCATGAACAGTCAATGGCGGCTCAGATATGCTGTAGTCACAAGACACTGTTCCCAGCATAGCCAAGGCTGAAGGAAAACACTTTACAGTTGTTTTATTTGATTAACAGTATAACTATGCTTCTTTATTCTGTCACTGTATTCAAGTGTTGTTTTACTTGAAAACTTTCTCAACTTTTATTTTGAAGTGAAAATGTGTAGACATTATATTCAAAATGAGAATGAATCATTCTTATCAAATTTGTTGCTAGCATGTTACAATAACAGTACATGAATAATGATGTGTTATTATGTAAACTAAACATTACTTTATTAAGTATGCGCCACTGCTTCGCCTCTGGCCTTCTTGCTGTCCCTCGGTATCGCCTCTCTTCAATGGGGGGCAGATCATTTAGTGTTATTGCACCCAAACTCTGGAACTCTCTACCACACTCACTCCGCTCTGCTAATAATATCTCTGAATTCAAATCCTTACTTAAGACTCACTTATATTCTGAATGCTTTGCATCTGATCTACCAAACTGACCACTTAATCTGATCCACCACTATCCTGCTCATATGTCTCTTAGGTCTTGTTTGTGTTATTCAAGTTTGTTATATTTGACCTCATGTATGTTTGTTTATCTTTTTGTTGCATTCCTTGTAAAGTGTCCTTGAGCTCTGGAAAGGCTCTATATAAATAAAAATTATTATTATTATTATTATTAAGAACTAATGATGAGTTAATGTATGCACTAATCATGAACTAACATTAACTACAACATAAGTCACAAGAGTTTATTTGTGAATATGGGCTACCTTAATTACTTGTTAGTATATGATTGTTTGTTAATTAATGTATTAATTACCACATTATTTTATGCTCAATTTAACCATCATGAACTCATAAGTTTACTTGGAGGGGCACATCATCATAAACTCATTCTTAACTACTTATTAACTCCTTATGCACCTTTTTAGTGCGTTTACATCCAAATAATAGAAAAGTGTTCTGTCAACATCAACATGAACAGTTTAAACACAGGAGTTCATGATTAGTTAAAAATGAGTTTATGGTGATGTGCCCCTCCAAGTAAAGTCATGAAGTAATTATACATTAACAGCTCATGAGTTCACATTGGTTATATTTAGCATTAACTTAAATGTTCATTAATACATTAATTAACAACCATATACTAACAAGTAATTAAGGTAGACGTTATTCACACATGAACTCTTGTGACTCATTTTGTATGAACACTTGTTACAACTCATTAAATTTAGTTTATGATTAGCGCATGCTTTAACTCATCATTAATTCATCATGTAATCTTTAGTTTACATATTAATACATCTTTAATAATGTACTGCTTTTGTAAAGTGTTACCAATTTGTTGATTCTTTGTGATCTGACTGATTAACAACTCACTGATTTAGTAATGACAAACAGATGAACTGAATTTAAAATAGGTAAAGAACTGAGAACAATGTGGTGTTTTTTTTTTACTCAGAGCATTAAAAAAGATCCTAAAAGCTTTAATGTGATAATTCCACATAATTCATAATGTCATACTACTAGGCTCTGACCTTATGACTTTTAAATCATAAATGTATGCTTTTATGTCATTATTTTGACTTAATTAGCATTAAATAATATTTTTGAAAGCATTTTTTTCTTAACGTTAAGATTAAATGTATAAAGAATGCTTTTCTGTGAATATTTCAGCATGACATCTGTATTTTAATTCAAGTATATGATTTCTTGTGTTTATTTGTTATTGTATGATATCTTTGTAATAATAATTTACAAGTAATACAATTTTTTCAAAAAAAATTTATAGGGGTGTTAGCCTTTAATTGATAGAACGGTGTAAAGAATTGACAGAAAAGGGTTGTTGCTAGATCGGAAATGGTTGCGGCCGGAAGTTAACAAGAATTATTTATATTATTTATTAAATTTCCCATTTAATATAGTGGTTGTATTGAGTATTATTTATGCTATCTATTAAATTACCCAGTAAAATGTATTTTTTAACGTCTACTCTCACCTTAACCCTAAACCATCACAGTACTGTAAAAATATAAATTATTGTTATACAGTGTCATAAAAAAATGCTGTCATATTGATGTGCTTATCACACTTCTGGCTGGCCGTGTATCCGATCTAGACTCTAGCTCAGCATAGGACCTTGAGCCAGGAATCGAACTTGGGTCGATGAAGCACCTTGGTGCTTTATGTCGGCACACTTTACCACTAGGAAATTGGAGCCAATGTAATACTGTTTTTAAAAATACTATAAATATTTTTCATTTTAATTATATCTTTCATAATTTTGTTTTATTTATGTTTTATTAATTTATTATTTATATTATTGTATTATTTATTCATTATGCGTATTATTATATTCATTTTTTTCATTTGTAGTTTCTTTGTTAGTTTATACAAATAAAAAGAGGGGAAATTATGTTTATTTTTATATTTGATGTCAGTTACCTTTCATTTTTGGTTAGAAAAGTACTATAATAACAACCCTGTCATCTCTTACTTTTATTACCAGAAACAAAGACACTTTCACTGCCATAAATTAAGATGACAAGTAATACAGAACAAAAACAAAAGCAGCTAAAACAAACAGAACAAATCCGGTTTGACCACAAGAATGAGTTCATTCAAAATGACAAGTAAAGACAGTTATTGAGCATCAAACTGTGCAGGGGAGTGAATGAAAGCAGGAAATTTTTAGATAACACTGGCATAACCTGCATGCCAGAGTCATGCCATCATCTGCCACAACACACAGCCAATAACATCTCTCTCTTGTTTTTTGTTTTCCAAAGAATGGGACAAATCCAGGGTAAGGAGGGGGAGCTGGGCCAGGACAACAGCTCCTTGGGACCAAAGGAAAACGGACCAAGCCCAGACCCTGGGGGGGCAACGGAGGAAGGAAATCAAGCTATTGAGACTCACAGTGCCAGGACAGATGAGGAGAAAGCAAGGTTGGACGAAAGCCCAGGCAGGGAGTCACCATTACCTCCACCAGCAGAGCACGGTTTGGATCCTCATGATAAGGTGTGCACTCCCACGGATGGGGAGGGAGGAGATGGAGAAAGAAAAGAGGGAGGAAGAAAGAATAGAGAGGAAGGCAGGGCTGAACCTCTGGCTCTACAGCAGCTGAATGGAATCACACAGTCTGACACATGCAAGCAAAGCACATGGGAGTCTGGTGAACCTGATCACGAGAGAAAAGACTGGCTGGAAGAGCATACAGGACTGGTGTGTGACGCTCTTGGTGGAACTGAAAGCCCTGAGAAAGCAGCAAACCAGACTCAAAACTGTGCTTCATATGTAAAGGACGAAATGGAGGCTGTTTGCGGAGATCATGACAAGCTGAAGTGCCAAGATGGGGAAGAAAACATTGATTTTGAAGCTGTCTGTGATGTTAATCTAACAAACACACCTCCGAGCTTGGAGATTTTAAAAGGAAAGGAGATTTTAAAACCATGTTGCGAAGATGCCAACTTCACGGTTCAAGACCATGCTTTAGTCAATGATGAAAATGAGAAGAGTGAGTCACAAAACAAGAGGTCATTTAACAACCCCAGCGCGTCGGACCCTGTGATGAACTCAGAAATGGAGACATCAAAGGAGGCAGTTCATCAAGTTAAGGAAGGAATGGAGAAGGTCGTAACCGAAACACCAAATTCTGAGCGTTCCTCCCCAAAGAGCGTTGAAACTTCAGGGCAATCGGTGACGGGTGAAAACCATCCAACAGATGAAGTCATAGAGACCAGATTTAATAGTTCAGGTGCGAATTTACAAAGTAAATCTGCGAGTCTGAGACGAGAGCAGAGCCCAGAGGATCTTAAACCCTTGGAAGTGGCATCCAAGTCACCACAGGGTCACGCTGAGAGCCATCGACAAATATCTCCAGGCGAATTCACACAGGACGTGCTTCACACAGAAAGGCAATTTAATGTGTCAGACTTGGAAAGCACTTGTACAAAGGAACCTTCACTTGAGAGATCACCCGCTGGAGGTCATGAAAATAAAGATGGCATACGAGAAACTGGAGAAAGAGAGAATCTGGAATCTGCTTCAAAGGGTCTGTATGGTTCCCATGCAAAGGAATCCGAGATAAAAGATCTTTCTCTGCGTGGAACAGAAACGAAAGAGGGTTGTTTTGTACAGGGTGAAAGCAAACCTCTTCTACAAAGCTATGAAGATGAGAAATGTACTGCATTCTCTGAAGACATTACCGATTCGTTAACCTCTTGTAAGTCTTATGTTCAAGTTATGCAAAACAATGAGAAAAAAGATTCCCCTCTTTCAGCAAAGGCCAAAGTACACACAGAGAAAAGTTTAGATGTGTGTTTGGCTGAAAGGAGTCCACAAGCATTGATGCAAAACTCTCAGGAGATGATGGAAGAGGCAGACCCAGAACTCACCTCTTCTTTCCAGAGTACAGTAATTGATGTAGATGAAGCTACTAGAAAGCAGATATTAGTGGGAGATGCTAGAGCTAACTCAGATGACATGACACCATCAGAGAGAGACAAGGTCAACAAGTCTGTTGGAAATACATTGAGCTTAAAAACAGAAACATCTGTAGCTGATTCCATTCCTGAGCTAATTGCAGATCCAGATCACACAGATGACAGGCCAAACGTGGACAGGAAAACAGAAGTCACTCTGTCTGGTTCTTCTCAACTCCAAGAACAATGTGTTTCGAAGACTTCAACAAATGTGTTAACCCATTGCATTGTAAGCTCATCTGATCAGGTCAGAGATGACCACCATGCAGGATCTGGATTAGCAAACAGTGCGGCAAACACATCTGCAGCTCAAGATGAGCAACTTTCTTCCTCTGTGTGCAGCCAAGCTACTGAGAAACAAGATCAAGAACGTACCAAGCTGCCGACACAAGTTAATAATCAGGTATCAGAGGAGAAATATTCAAGTCAGCTTGACCAAACGCATGCAGCAGAAAGTGACCAGACCACCACCACAGATGCATCGCAGGGTGCGCAGAAAAAGCATGTGTCGGATATGATAAAGGAAGCTATTGAGCTGCAGAAGAAGATGAAAGAGTGGACCAAGCCAGCCGAGGCCCGGATTGATCTGACATTAGATCCTACACAGTCTGTGAAAGTATCACAAATGAAAGCAGCATTTGATCCACCAAAGAAATCACCTGACAAAGCACTCGAGAGAAAACCATCAGTGAGAAAAGGTAGGAACATTTTGTGAAGGATGCTGATTATGTTATATTAAATGTGCAGTGGGTGATCTGACAAACTGCTAACCGGTTAGCATTATATCTTTGAAACACAGTCCCTCCCCTGTTGTCCAAAGCCACGCCTCCTGAAATCACAACAATCACTAAAATCACACCTTAAAGATGACAGTAGACAACCCACCAGATCATGTCATTTGCCAGTTAGAAAACTTTATAGTACTTTATAATACTACAATTCTGAACAAAAAACTGTATTATATCTAGCGCATTTTCATAATGCCATAATGCTATAATGTGCAATATTGCATGCATGCTGGTCTCACTCTCTCACACGCTTTGTCCTAAAGTGATTACAGTATTGTGGTTGGCCGGCGGTGTGTAGGAATTAGACTTATTTCTAAGCCATACTTATTTGCTATTTCAGACCGTATAGTATGGTAAGAGTAGCATGGTAAACAAAATAGGGAACATGTCACAGGTTGTCACTGTTCAAAAATGAACTAATGTGATATGAATATAAAACCAACTTCACCTCAGTAAAGGAATAGCGCTTTTTAATGATGTTTTGTTGGTAAACTAAATAAAAATTGACATTATCGTTGCTGTAAAATGTCCCTTATTATACTGAAAATAGTCACATCAATCTAGCCAGAAGATTTCAGTGGCTGAACAACACTACTGTGCATATAACCGATTTGTAAAACAACAAAATCTACATCAGCTTTGCGTGACTAAAAGAGTTTTAAAACAGAACATTACCTGTCTAACAGAAATATTTCTGCTATGGTGTCATCCTTGCTCCAGTGTGCAAAAGTAACTCCAATACTGATTCAAGATTTTAAAAAGTTTTAATTTAGCATTTGATTTTACTGCTCTCTCTCTCTCTCTCTCTCTCTCTCGTGCATGTGAACGCGCATGCATGCTCAAATGGCAGGTCTGTGTGAACGAGTGAGCAAGTGTACAAATCTATATTTGCTGACAGACAGTTTGGGCTACTTATCAGAATTATGTGAATTGTTGGCTTGACAAATTTAATTGGACAAACATTTTTTTTGTCTTATGCCTTACCCAGAATATAAAAATACATATAAATACATTTAGGTCATTTACTTTAATCATTACTATTGGAATGTGGAGAGACTTTCAACCAGCACCAAAGAAAAAAAAAAGTTTCTGAAGACAATCACCTACTGCACCTTTAATGAAAAAGCTGGGCATATATTCTAACAGTACCATAGTGTCATATTTACATTATCTATATTTTGTTTGGGTTGAAAACCATTATAGTTATCATATTAATGTGCAGAGTCATATTCTTGTTCATTAACATTAAACAAACAATACATTATTCAGATCTATCTATCTATCTATCTATCTATCTATCTATCTATCTATCTATCTATCTATCTATCTATCTATCTATCTATCTATCTATCTATCTATCTATCTATCTGTCTGTCTGTAGGCTTATATATGTATCAATGCTGGTATTCAGCAAACAGCAAAATGTAATTCCAGCATAATGGTGCCATCTTGTGGCAATTTCCCGTGCAGGAAAATAAACCTCACCATACAGGTTGCATCTCAGTACAAAAATGCCAAATGCCTACCCAAAATACATTGTACTTACACCACATTGCGTCCACGATACCATCTACTAATCGACGTAACTAAACGTTGACTGACCTCACTACAGGTATGACGTCAGGAGCAATAAACCGGTTTCACCAGTAATTTCAGTCACGTCGTCCACACTGAACTTCATACCTGTTTTACACTCCTAATAGGCGGGGCTACGTTGAATGTGTATGGTGATTGGTGAGCTTTGACGCCACTCAGTGCTCATTTCTCCAATCCGGTTTGTTGGGGGCGTGGATAAGAAAACAAGGCGTGCCTTCCGGCGAGTCTCGGACAAGTTGAGTGAGGCAGAGGCATAGGGAACATTCGCGCGATAAGGGACTGCTGCTGGGAAACTAAAGCTGTCTAGTACAAAATTAAAGTCGGGCTTGGATATATTTTGCCTACGACAGCTGAGAAGGTAAGGATAAGGACATACTCTCTCTGAAGCGTAATGTTTGCAGAATGAAGCGAAGATTGGGTTGGCGTGTGTAAGTTTTAAGGATCTGTCCATGCGAAGGGATCATGGCAGCGTGGATCAGGCCAGATGGGCTGATCTGCAGTGCTCAAAACGGGGGATTGCTTTAACAAATTTTCATGTTCCATATCTGAGCTGACAAGCTTTCAGGATGGAACATGTAATGCTGTGTGATTTGTATGGATGGATTTAGGAACCTCCTTGGCTCAGTGCTCAAACTGTGGGAAGCGAAAGTTGCTGCATCTGGGGCGGTTTAAGAATTCTTCAAATAAAAAAAAAACTACTACAGAATTTTCAAATCTTAGAATTCCTAAGGTGTTTTTATGGAATTTTGGAATTCCTGATAAAAAAAAAATAGCTCATTTGAAATCTTACGATCTTTGTTTGCTCATCAAATTAGGGTGAGTGATCACTAAACAAATAAAGCTGAAGTTTAACTACTTTTACTTGCAACTCAAGCTGATGTGACCCATCTGAAATTTTTGGGCAGCTCCTAGTTTGCTTTGCTAAAGTAATTTGGAACTGTCAGTCTGCTCTACTTTGACCTGCTCGGAGCTAACGTAAAATGAAGATTTGCCAGTATTAGATAAAAGTGTATTGGAACAAATGTTCTCCAGCAGATATGCAGAATCAAGAAGTTCTCTAAAGCAGTCGATAAATACGGAATGTGTAGATTTTCAAATAAGTTGGTTGAACTTCCTGTAGGTGTGGATTATCCTGCCATATCTGAGAGGGTGGATGCCTGGAGCTGTTTTTGAAACTCAATGTAATGTCTGTCAAAGGGTTTCTTAAATGTGTGCTCAGTAGTTGATTTCCCCCCAAGGTTTTACACACAAAGAAATCTGTTGAAAAATCATTAAAATAATTTTATGCTTTGTGCTTTATTATTTTTTTATTTAATCTTTGTTTACATTAAGCATGTCTATTTTTTTTTTGGTGATAGACTGTTGACACATGGTCACATGACATATTGTCATATAATTTATAGTTACCAACATTTAAAGTTTAAAATAAATAGAGCTGGAATGGAAATTGATTCTATTTTTTTAAATAAAAATAAAAAAATATATTTTTTTTATTGAACAAATGGCGAGGCAGTAGCGCAGTAGGTAGTGCTGTTGCCTCACAGCAAGAAGGTCGCTGGTTCGAGCCTTGGCTCAGTAAGCTTTTCTGTGTGGAGTTTGCATGTTCTCCCTGCGTCGGTTTCCTCTAGGTGCTCCAGTTTCCCCCACAGTCCAAAGACATGTGGTACAGGTGAATTGGGTAGGCTAAATTGTCCGTAGTGTATGATTGTTTGTGTGTGTGTGTGGATGTTTCCCAGAGATGGGTTGCTGCTGGAAGGGCACCCGCTGTGTAAAAACTTGCTGGATAAGTTGGCGGTTCATTCCGCTGTGGGGACCCCGGATTAATAAAGGGACTAAGCTGAAAAGAAAATGAATAAATGATTAATTGAATAAATGAAAAGTAGATAAATATGAAGAGAAACTTGCTGAGTTTGCTTTTAATGTAGTATTGTTTCTGCTTAAAGGTTTTAAGGATTTCTGTAAGATTATCACTCAAGGGAGTGTGTTTTTGTGTGTGTATTTTTGTTTCACACTTTCATTATTTTTTCAAACTTTGATATTTATGTTAGTTTTTTTGTAATTGCAAACGTGCATTTCACACAATTTAATGTATATCTAATCCTATTGTGTAAAAGCACCTAATTTCTTTGATTTCATCAAGCTAAGATCTAGTATAGGCAAAATAGTAGTGTAGTCTTGTTTGCGTATCGTTTGGTTCAGCATGGCTGCGCCCGAAATTGCCTGCAAGTCAGTAGTACTGCATGTGAATTTAAATGTACTAGTCAACCATGAGAAAAGTATGTTCTATACAGTTTGAATGCGAGTAGTATGAATGAAACTCAGACGTACTACATCTGTAATTTTGTCATGATCACGTGTCCTACTGCCCAGTTCAGACTGCATGGTTTTTAAAGTAGTTGTGTCACGGATGTTTTCACTCTACATTACTGTTTGGGATTGTGTTCTGTCGGTGCTGTGTTTACACTGAAGGATGGATCGGCGAAAAGAGGTTTCACAATGCATCACTTTGAAATGGGAGGAATCGTCGACAACTTTGTCCAAAATATGTCTCACAGCCAAAAAATTGCGAGAAGTGAACTGGAAACAGTGCGAGGTCACGTTATTAACTACATAATGAAAAAAGAAGGTTTTAGCTTTAGAAAATTAACTCATTTTGCTCTCCTGGCTTTTTGAAGAGAATTAGGAATTTCTCCTCAACGTTTGTAACTTTTTGACCTGATTGTGATATTACTCAGATGATACGTTAAATAGAAACATTGATTGGGTCCAAATAAACTTAAAAAGAGCGCTTTTGACTTCTCACCCAACGTCCCGCTAGCCTGCAGGTACCCATACTAGTGGACCTCCTGCTCTCTCGGCTGTAGGGGATTGTCGATGTTATTTTCAATCAGAACACATTTCACATGGCATGATTAGCAGAGCATTAGCAGATATTGTGCCTGTGATTTCAAACATTTGTCGCCAATTTCTCAAAACCTGTCGGGTTTAAAAAATCTGGGCTAAAATTATGCAGTCTTAACTCTGCATAACCCGTATCCATTGCATCAGTTCACTCCCATTTATGAATTCTCTCAAGGGACTTCATAGGATAGTGCAGTGTGCATTGGATGTGCACTTTAGAATCTTGCCTGAAGTTGTAGGTCATCCAGGTCTTAGGGTTCACACTAGCAGCAACTTTGTAGCTGCCTGTTGCTCTGGGTGACGACCTGCTGCAAACGCAGGTCTGTGTAGGTCTACAACACGGAGAATACAACCTGCCTCTGAGCGAGCTGAAAGAGGACCATGTGAGCTTCACTGAGCTTCACTATTGGCTGTCGATCAAAAAAGTCACTCTCTTCATTTGCATAAAGTTAAAGGATTCTCAACTTTGTTGCATCGCTCGACACGCCCACATAATTGCCAACAGTTGCTGTCACTCCTGTAGGCGGAGGTCACCGGAAGTTGCTCACTCTCCTTTGAAATGAACGGTTGCTTGTTGTTCGAGTCGCTCATAGTGTGAATGAGGCTTTAACCTAAGTTTACAATCAGTTCTTGTAATCTAGTGTCATTTAAAATATTTTTTATTAAATTTCTTCTAAATGTTTCGAAGTTTGACCATTGCACCCTAAAATGATTAATTCAGTGTTGTTATTTTTATTGTGTTTATGCATTAACCTTCAGTGATCTCATAGATGGAGAACAAGTGTTTTTTAGTGAATATTATGTAGCGTGCAGGGTTTTCTGTGGTTACCCATGTGTCGACCACACTGCTATATTGTCTGGCATGTTTCAGTTTGCCTCAGTTAACTTGTAGGCAGCAGGAAGGAATAAAAATAATAATAAAACCTCAAATGCTGTGACGCATTAAAAGGCATAAAATAATAGATTTGTTTAGAAATCTAATAAAATATTTGCGTTTAAGTCTGTCTGTTTGCAGTATTTATAAAATATGCATGTTAACAATTTAGTTTCATGCATATTTTTGACAATTATTGAATGGAAATGACAGAGGAACTCGCTGTATTTGGATAATGGTAAACTATGCTTCAATTCTAAGCTGTTTTTATTGACTGTTTCCAAGAAGCCATGTCTTTGTTCATGTTTGGTTGTCGCTGGTGCATGATTTAGCTTTAGGCCACGTTGAAGTCTTGACATGGTAATGTTTGGGCTGGCCGTCAGAATGCATCAGCCTGTTTATGCATATGTCATTGCGTCAGCTCCTATGTCCCTTTTCCCTGTGCTCCTTGGGAAATGGGTCAGGATGCTGGGTAAAATTAGTCAGGAGATGCAGGATGTGGCTGCAAGGCTGGAGAGGATGCAGCTTCATGAGCGCGAGAGTGTGTGTAGAGAAAAACTGGACATATATAGGCAGGGAGAATCCGTTTAGAGTTTTAAGGAAGTCTTGTTTCCTCTAAAGACTCGACGGGTTCAGGTTGCATTGCACATTTATCAGATAACGTTCTTGCTCACGCTTTAGGCTGCATTTGTCAGAGAATTGAGATTTGCTATGGATATCTCACCACCAGCAGGTATGCAGGATTAACCCCCCCCCCTATTTTTTTCATACCCGCATTGTCTTGCTTTCTAGAATGCTTATTTTAATCTAATCTGAGTGTTAATTTCCGTATAATGTGGTTGTGATGATTAAAAAAAAATCAATTTTAAAGCAATTTTTATCAGCTTTGCTTTAGGGATTTTGACACCTCAACCTTTTGTTTAATTAGCTTCTGATCATTGAAACGGCATTTAGCCCGATAGTCAAATGTCACATTTTGCAAGCCGTGAAAGCTTGTTTAAAGGTGAACACGGATGGGGCTCATGTTTATCTATGGGTTAGAGCCGCACGATTCTGGGTAAAATGAGAATCGCGATTTATTATATTTTTGCTTAAAATAAAGATCATGATTTTCTCACGATTCTGTAGATGTAAAATAAAGGTATGGTAAAAACAAACATATGGCACATCGATAATAATATTATGTGTAGGTCTACTGTTTTTTATAAATAATTCTATTCTACTTATAATAATTATGATCTTGAATTATTATGTTTGAGATGTATGCTTGCAATATGTCATAAAAAAATCAGACATTTGCCATTATCAGATTATATTCAACAACAATATATAGGCTAGAGTAGTTATACTGACATTGTATACATTTATTTTCATGCACAACTGTGGGTTTGCTATGAAAGAAAAAAAACATATCAAATGCTTGTCGTAATCATAACTCTAAAATGCGATAAGATCATTTAAATGGAGTGCACACTTTCGGTTTCATTTTGACTGCTAAGTGCTTGTTCATATTTCGCGGGGCTCCCAAACGATCACTCTGTGCCACAAACAGAATATTATTTACAACTGTATTACCTGTTACT